AGCTGTACTGTTAGGTCTGAGCGGTTTGAAGAATAAAAAAGCTAGAGGGGATGAACCGAATTTAGGCAGCAAGCAAAATACATCTGCTTCACAGAGTGTAAGAATTGGCAATGAATCAGCTTTATATGATATGACTGGAGGGAGAACAGCTATGCGTGTGTGTGTTTGCCCAACACAGGATATCTTTTTAATGGGCAAGAGTATTTGTGTGCCGGTTAATCCCCACCGTGTTACTCACACACCCGGCATCGCTGCTGGTGTGTGTGTCTATTCACTGTCAGCTTAGCCCACTCAATCCCTAATCCAAAAGCAGAGAGGGAGAGAGAGAGAGAGACAGAGAGGGACGCAGGCAGAGAGATAAACCTGTGTACCTACATGTAAAATGTCTCAATAATTTACATTTCACACAGATTGCCTCTCTTCCATCCTCTCACGCTCAAGTCCTCCCTCATTTTAATAAGTTTGAGCCCCCCCTTACTCCAAGACGACGCACGAGATTCCCCCGGTTGCCCCGACAACAGACGCAATTGATTGAGCAGTTCGCACCTCGCCATAATACGCGATGAGGCGAGTTCGAAGGCGAAGACCATCAGTCGCCTCCCCATTCAACAACATGCACTCCTCCCATTTTGTTCTCTCTCAATGGCTAAACAATGGCCGTGGCTTAGCCCATCACTGTGATTTGTGGTGCTGATGGGGGACTTTCTGTGTGTGTGTGTGTGTGTGTGTGTGTGTGTGTGTGTGTGTGTGTGTTGTGTACACTGCCCCATAGGCCAACTGTAAAAACTGGTTTCCTGTATCCTTCAGAAGTGGAGCAAAAAAACAACAAGCCCTGACCTGTTGAGTATAATTAAATGTTGTGTTGTTAAGGGCAGTAAGTACTAACACCCCGAGGCTGGGAACATATTCTATTAGCTTCCATCTATTGTCTCTCGTTCATGTGAGTAAGAGATATAGCGTTAAAAAACAGCCGGTTAACCACTCAAAACCTGAACAGAGACCAGTTCTATTGAGCTAATGAGGAATAAAAGGAGGGATAAAGAAGGGGAAAGGGAGAGCCAAGGCCGTAACTAAGGATTACTTTCATTACTGATTAATCTGCTGATTATGCCACAGCGAGCGCCAACGATGTGATGAAAAGAAAAATAACAAGACATTCGCCTAATTAATGTGTGAATTCAGTAGACTTTAGTTCCTGGCTGGTAACAGAAGGATTACAGGAGACTAAATATAAAAGGAGTCATCGAGTCGAACCTGTTTCTCCCAGTTTGTTGTGTCAGTTATTAACCGTTATTGTGACTAATCTGTTGATTACTTTTTCAAATCAATCCTTTAACAATTTAGTCTATTAAATGTGAGAAAGCACTTAGAAATGATCAGAAGCCACTGAGGCCTCTTTAAGTGTCTTGTTTCGTCCAACCAAAACAGCCAAAACACCCAGTTTACGGGTGAAATCCTCACATTTGAGAAGCTAGAACCAAAGAATATTTGGGGGTTTTTTTCCTTGATACATGGCTTAATTGATTTAGAGCAGCAGCCATTAGTTTATTAGTCAAATAAAACATAAATAGAGCAGCACAAGTTTGATAATTAAGTCATTTTTTTCAAGCAAAAAAAAGCCAAAAATACTGAGAACCCCTGCTTTTCTTCATCCTATATGATTGTACATGAAATATTTGGGGGTCTGTTTTGAAGACGTCACCTTAAACTGTGTAAAGTTTAAAATTTTCTGATATTTCACAGGCCGTTTAATCCACAAGGGCACAATTAATAACGATTATAATCATTAACCGCAGCCCTAAATTGATCTTTAGGTAATTGGCATTCATTTTCTGTCCGTAACTAATCATTTTAGACATTCGTGGTTACTGAATGCAGAAATATAACTGTACTGGAAGGTGTCAGACAGACGATAAGTAAAGACGATCCATGATTTCCACTCATCCCTGCCATGAGGTGGAAAGAAAGGATCATGTACAGTCAGATTATTTGCTTTTCCTGGATATCTACTGATCGAACACTGAGATATTTCCCCGCCCCAGGTGGGTTCACAGAAGTCTCTGCCGGTGCATTTCACAGCCAAAACAAACTAAACGCATGAACAAACCCCGAACCTGAGTTGACTGATGGCAGACACTTGCTATTTCAGTCACCAACAAAATTCCTCTTATCTCTCTGCCAAGAAAGTGGAATTAGACCACGGGCATTAAAGTCTCCCCGTTATTGACGTGAATCTAAAGAAGAATAAAAACACATTGCTGCCCAGAGGGAATATTGTCAGGAGCTCAGAGAACGAAACACCACCACCCCCCTACCATCCTCTTCCCTCTAGATCAAAAACACACAGACACACACAGACACACACACACAAAAGTCCAGGATGAAATCTTCCCCTTTGAAAGTGATCTAATGATAGCAAGCGAAAGGGCTGCTGGATGCATTAATTATACACCCCCACCCCCCCCCCCACACACACACACACACTGTTTAGGCTTATGTAAACACACACAGAGACTGAGCTGACCTTTAAGAACCATCCATATTGATATTTTCCCAAAGCCAAGTCACCTAAAGTCCTTCTACCTGCCTCCGAAAAAAAAAATCAATTTCCTCGCTGATACCAGTCACCTTCCCTTCTCATCAGAGAAGACTCAGCAGGTCTCCTCTATCTGTGTGATAGGAGAACCTGGCTGGTTTACACAACACATGAGTCTCCACAACCGTCTGAACTGTTGCAGAGGAAATGTTTGTCTTGTTGAGACTCCCTACTGTGTATTTTTTTGACAATAGATACATTTTTCTAGCTATTTTTCAAGCATAAATGCAGAATATTCCCTATTCCAAGCTTCTTAAATGTGTGTATTTGATGCCTTTCTTCACCACGTATGATAAACTGAATACCTTTGGGGTGTATGAATATTATAATTTGACTACATCAGCTTGAACTGTCACCATTTTCTGGCATTTTATAGACAAAACTATTAACTGGCTGCACGATACGAGAATATTATATACTGATTCATGATTTTTTGCATCACAAATTTCATTTTCACTGAAGAAAAACCTGTTAAAATGATGATGATGTGACATTATTGCAACTTCTGCTCTCAGCGATACTGCAATTTCGATAATATTTGGAATAATTGTGCCGCCCTAGTGAAAATCAACAACATCAAATCAACAAAATATGATGAAATTCAGCCAGCTGAGAGAAAGGGAGCGGTGTTACAGTGGCATCAGTTTCTGCAGACTTCAGAGTTTCTCCCAATCAAAGTCAATACATCCTTCTCCCTCCACTATCTCTCCCTCATAGACACTATGAGACTTTCTGGCTACTGTCTGGAAAATGTGCTTGAGGAATAATGACTAACGCTACGTCCCTTCTCCACAACAACAACCACTGAGGTGCCCCTGGGCAAGGCTCTTCATCCTGCACCAACAGAGCAACTCAGCAGTAAATTACGTTTTGCACTGGGCAGCTCGCAAGGTGCGAACTTGAATCAATCGCCGGAGAGATGCTCAGTCGACACTCCCGTAAGTATCCCCTCAGTGTTGTCATATAAAGGTTAACAGCCGAGGACGGGATGGCCCTGCCTCCAGTCCCTGAACAGCTCATAAAAAACAAAAAAAGATGAGTTGAAAAAAATGCCCGTGTTATCTCGTGTACCTGGGTGTACTGATGCCTAACAGACAGCAGGACGACGTACCACAGAGGCACGGTTTCACAGTTGTGTACGTGGGTGTCAGCTGGCAAACTAAATGCTGATCTCTCCTCGCTCCTTTAAGAATTGTATTCAAGTTAAAGGAGGGAAACTGCGACCTTAAAGCAATTTTATGGGACCTTTAAATTCACTCGAGATCTGTGAATTGCATGGCAACACAAAAGCACCTCGTCTCCATTTAGACCTCCCTACTCTTGTGAAAGCTCGTCATATAACTCTTAGCCCTAGAAGTATGTTCTGTAGCAGCTCTGTAACTGGGTCAGGGAATAAAATCAGCTTTTTCTATCATAACACATCACGTTATTCAACCTTTAGGAGGAATAACACGAGCATTGTCACCCCCATTGAACGACACAATAGGAAGGGCCAACGAGAAGGATGCAACAGGAACTCAAAACAAAAAAACTTAAGAAAACAGCGTCAGACACAGATTAGATATGATGACAGAGAAACGGAGTCAATCTTCGCTTTAAAATGAATGCAGACACACTGGATAAACCTGATCCACCGCTTGCCACTATATGTGCTTTGCAAACAGTCCAACATGATGGCTACATGATAAGATAAAAAAAAAGGTCACCTGAGCATAAAAACATGAGGATTAGTTCACTACCTGGGCAGCAGATTGATGTGTAAGTTCAACTCTACCAGACTCCATTAGAAAAACTGCCAATTTAAGGTTCCCTCGCATATGGTACAAACCTAAGAGCTTGCAGAAGGGAGTGACTCTTCTCTATGCAGCATTATTAGGTAGAATACGATTGTGGCAATGTGAAAATTATTATAAGTGTTAAGAAAAGAAGGTTTTAAGGGGGAAATGCAGACTGCAGTATCGGATAAAAAAATGCAGAAAAACGCTCCTGAAGATTCACGAGTATGTGAATATGACGTGCTGTAGAGGATATGCACATTTTCAGAGTAGCAAATAACATTAAATTTAAATAAAATGTGACATATTTGTCTTAACACAAAAGAAAACAAACCATAAAGGGAGCACTCGGTTAGTCAGTGGCATAGAAAAGAGGATGATTTCTAACTCTCCTGCTCTCTAATGACAATTAAACTCCTAAATTACATTATAATAATAATTATTATTATGATTTTTAAAGACGTGCAGTCACTAGAATAAACTTACCAACTCTTAGGTGTGTTTGTTATTGTACACCTCGACGTGGCACAGCCAAACGTAACAACGTTAATGAGGGTTAGTTAGCTTAACGTTAGCTTAAAATTAACGTTAAAGCAGGAGTAAATAAAAACAAAAACATCATTATTTACCATATTCACGTTACCCCAGCTGGTGTAAGTGTATCCCGACTTCTGGTAAACTTTTCCCCGCAGCAGCAGCACAACAAGCACCGCACATAATCTCCGGTTCTCTAACTGGAGCTCCCGTTTTTGTTGTCCTCAAGTTGACCGTTGTCCGTTGACACCGTCCGGTGTTACACATGCCATCACGGCTCTCTCTCTCTCTCTCTCTCCCCCCTCCCACTTCCAGCTTAATGCCGCCGCTGGAAACAGACCCACGGCGGCGAAACCGGTGCGATATCCTCCCCCGAGCCAGCCCGCCGCGGTAATCCTCCCTAAACACACACACACAAAAAAAGCCAAGCGCAACTGTGCGATTACGCCCCGCCCACCGCGTTAACCAAAAAGGGATGGGCTGCGGGGGATATCGAATACACCCCCACATGAATTAATTCATAGAGAGAGAGAGAGAGAGAGAGAGAGAGAGAGAGGGGGGGTGCAACCACATTAAAGAGGGTTTTTAGTGACATATACAAGAAGTTTGTGTACAAGGGAAGTTGAAGTAATCTTTAAGAGAAGAACTAAGTGGTGGATGAGGTTTTAAGATTGTACAGAAGTATAAGCAAAATGAAGCTTTATAGTGAATTTTACTGTTGCTGCAAGTTGAGATGAAGCAAGTTCTAACAACTTTATACACTGCTGTTAAATATAAACGACAAACAAGTTCATATGTTTTGGATTTAATCTGTGTATCAGAATCAGAATCAGAGATACTTTATTGATCCCCAGACGGAGATTGGTTTGTTACAGTTGCTCAAGATCTAACACTATATATATATATATATATATAGGTATAGACATATAAGTAAAAATAGAAGAGCAATATAATGAGAGCCTATGTACCTTATAGTAATACAATATATACAATGTAATAACCAAAGTTGTCATATAAAAGTGAAAAGTAGAAGATTTCCCTTCCTTTGGAATATAGTGAAGCAGAAATTAAAACAAAAAGTCCAAATAAATTCCACCACTAGACTCAAATATACTGTAAATTATGTGGTTTACCAACCATCATTAACAGGTGGATTTGTAATCAGCCCATGTTTACACCTAAAGCACATAGTCACCTTGAAAATTATAAACAGATAGCTGAAATAGATAGACATGACACAGGCTATTTTCTCAAGTGAAAGGATAGATGAATTACCCCACAAATGTCTGGGGAATGAGTCATGAATGATTTAAAGGAACAGCAGGTCTACTCTGGCCCTACTGATAAAGAAACCAATTAGCATGGTTAGTGGCCCTGTCATGTGATCTGGGCTAGTTTACTGTCCAAGCTCACATAAAGTATTCATCCTCAGCATATACGTGCCCTCTTCCACCTGCCATTTAAGAAAACGCTGATATAGTGACAGGAGGGTTCTTATCTCTGTCCTTTTCTCCTGTCATTCTTTATTGCTTTATCCCCTCTCATGCACACATCGACCTGAAGCCCACATTATGAGGATGGTAGTGAGTCAGCCACCTGTTAATCATTGTGACAAGTGTGCTTTCTGACAGGTCGAACACTCTTAAGGCCGGGTGATTCAGCCTGCAGGGCAGAGAACAGCACCTGGCACAGAGGCGGCCTGCAGGGCAAGAGCTCTGTTATTGAAATTTGAATCTGATCCAGCCCTGATTCAATCATATCATTTCCGTGAGTGCGTGTGTGCATATTTTGAAAGATCATTGCATAGCTCTGGGATACAGCCACAACAAATCTTTTTTTTTTTTTTTACTATGATCAATCCTAATAACCTAATACACTTCCAGTCCATTTCCCCTGAGCATTGATTTATAATATCCATGCTTGTGTGCGTGTGTGAAAGCGAGATAGCAGGCAGAGAGTTAAATGTGACATTTAATTAGGTCCAGATTTGTACTTCAGCATTGATTTGGTTCAAAGAGGGCACTGGCTGACTGAAAAAAACTTGCCTTATGTAAATGCCATTAAGAGCAGATCTCTAATGGGTATTGCAGCAGTGCATGACACTTGTGAGACTGTAAAACAGCAACATAACAGCTTTTTAAGACTATTCTCTCTCTTTCTGCTTTGATTCATTGAAAGAAAAGTCGAAAAATTCTGCTCCGAGTTGAGCACAAAGACACTCTGACATGCATGTCGTAGTTTTTCTTCTAAATGTCACCACATTTGACTTTTAAGAAGTGCAGGAGAGTTTAAAATCCAATTATCTGACAAAAAGAGACACGCGGCGGAGCAGTTCTGATCCGCAGTGTATAAATGTCAGAATTCATGCTTATAAGATGATGTACAATCCGTGTGTGCGTCAAGGGTCGGAGAATTTACGTGTATACATGAAATTAACGCTGTTAATCAGAAGATGCTATTGTTCCCTTTCCCCCCACCAGCGATGTTTGTGTTCTTTATGTGCTTCCTGCGGCGCTTCCTGTCTCCATCTCAGCCGTGACATCAGACTGACCTGCGTAACACCAGAGACTTCTGGGAACACTGATACTGGTCGGGAGCATTTACGTGGGGGCTCCGGATTGTTTAGTTGAGGACGAAAGATCAGGACGTTCTGGTCGAGGCTGCGGAATGTTCGAGGGAGTTCGGAACATTATGGAAAGATTCTGGAATGTTTAAGTGAGAGAATCGGAATGTTTAGCGGGTCAACTGGAACATTCTGTGAGGGTTCTGGAATGTTTAAGTTACGGGTGGCCCCAGGATGTTCTGGAGAGATTCTACTAGTGCTTGGGTAACAAGGGTGAGAACTTTCCAGTGGGATTCTAGAATGTTTAAAGGGGGTATCGGAATTTCTCAGGGATTCTGGAATTTTAAGGTTAAGAAGTCAGAGCTTTCTGGTGGGATATGTGGTGAGTATAATTGAGATCAGATCCTTCTGATGGGCTTCCTGAATGTTTTACTTGAGGATTTTTTCTGCAATATGTATTATGTGAGCTTGTTTCTTCCTAAAAGCTGCACCAGCCAATATTGATATATTTACAATGGATCAAATTCCTATTTGTAATGCTAAAGTTCCAGTGTGTAACATTTAGGAGGATCTATTGGCAGAAATGTAATATAATATTCAAAGGTATGTTTTCATTGGCGTATAATCACCAGAAAATACACAATTTTGTGTTTTTGTTACCTTAGAATGAGCCGTTGTTATCTACAGGGGAAGCAGGGCCTCCTCTACTGAGGCCGCAATGTTGAACTGCCATGATTCTACAGTAGCCCAGAGCGGACAAGCCAAACACTGGCTTTAGATAGGGCATGACAACACACAGACACAGTGACTGACTGGTGGAAATAGTGGAGCATTTAGAGCTACATAGTTCAGCCAGGAAGTGGTGAAGACCAAAGCAGAGCAAAAAACCTACATCTCTATCATTTTACCTGACTTCAGTGCAACTGTAGAACCCAGAAATGTATTATGAAATGCAATGCAACACAATAACCTTAAGATATTCTCTCTGTGTGATGGCTCAGTTCTGTGGTACATTATAAGGTTGTTTTGTTGTTTTATTGAGCTGTATACATTGAATATTTTCCTAATATTTTGTCCAACTCAACATCTTACATTAGATTAAAACACACAGTTATTTTCATTACTGATTACTGTGTCCATTATTTTGTTCTATAACTTTATATTAAATATTACATCACATTTCCTCTGAGCCTACGGTGATGTGCCTTCAGACTAAAAACCAAAGACACTGAATTTTCAATTATCTATAACAAAGAAAAGGAGCAAATCTTCACGGTGGAGAAGCTGGGACCAGACAATGTTAATTTTTGAACATTGCTCAAAGGGAGAATTTATTGCTGCTTTTCTTTATATTGGTGATTGGGAGTGCATTTTGGTGCCACTACATTTGACTCGTAACATCACTTGACGCCTGTATTGCCACCTTCGGTTTTAAGGTGTGTCACCTCCATGCCGGTGAAACTGGTGTCATACCTCACCCAACATATGTGAGAAAGAAAATGCCAGATGGAGAGAAAGTGAGGCAAGAAACTGAGAGCTAATTGACAAACAGCTGTCCTAATCCAACCTCGGTTATTGCTGTGTCTCTGAGTCAGACAGGAAAGGAAACTCTCTAGAGCTGACTGTCTGTTCAGACGTCTCTCTGTGAGAAGAGATGTCTCTTTCTGCTTCCTCATTTCCTTTGTTCCTTGTAAGAGACAGAGGCACACACTCAGATTTTATGGATGTAATACGAAACTGTCAAATCAACTGATGGTGTGGAGATGACATAAAACCCAGAAGAGGTCATGTTTAATTAATCATGCACACATTTCTATCCACTACATAGACGGGGAATGTATGTGTGTGAAGGCTACGACAAGCAAATGAAAACATATCATCTTCAGAGCTCCAGGGAAAAAGGAAGTGGAGAGAATTACATTAAGACCTTGAATATTTCACAGTTATGACTCCCGTCTAATGTCTTGATGATATTGTTGTCGCAGAGACGCTCAAATGTGTTTATAATTTTACATTCAGCGGCTGCTATTGTCAGCTGGGAATATGTTTACATCCAGATGAGCACAGAGGCAAAAAAGCTGCGACCCACCGCTGTGTGCATATGTTGGCATAACTCATCTTTCATCCCCAGTGCTGTGCAGAGCGAAGACAGAATCAACATCAGCTCAGTCAGAATCAATTGAACAGGGAGACGCTCGCTCATCCTTTGGGCTCAGTAATTGGAGCAGTAAAGTTATGGTGTGTTTTCGGATTGCATAACCCCCCACCCCACACACACACACACACACACACACACACACACACACACACACACACACACACACACACACACACACACACACAGAAGCCCTGTCCAAAAAAACATCCCTTCTTTCATCACACCCACTCTTTATCTTCATCTCTGTGTGCTTGCGTTTAACCTGTCCTCAAATCACACTCTCTTCTTATTAGAACTGTCAACCTCCTGCTCACTTTTTTTTTATTATGGCAATGCTTTTGTGCCAGCAATTACATTTTCTTTCATGATGTGTGTCCCCCTTCTCAAATGATAATTTTTCCTCCTGTCTCTTTCACTTCATGGCTTTTATCTTTCCCACTATCTTCTTTTTCTTATTGCTGTACCTTTATAACGTAGCATTTCATATTCAACTCTGCAGCCTTGCTTCAATCAAACAGCGCTTATGATCTGTGTCACTCAATCTCACCCTGAAACACAAAACAAAGATTGAATGTAATTCCGCTGGATCTTGCCGCCCAAAAAAAAGATGGATTTGTCAGCAAGGCTTGTTCCAACTTCATGAATGTTTTTTCCACCTCGTGCTATTGATGCTGATAAGCC